GCTGTACAGTATAAACTTGTTTATCTATTCTATGTATAGCTGTCAGTATCTACAAATTTTGAACTCCCAGTCTGTCCCTTCCCACCCCCCTCGCCCCAAAGTAAATCATTTTTATTGTGTTATTGGTGTAACTTATTATCTATTTTTTCAGCCCTATAATCAGTGATTATACTTTGAGTATATAGTCTTAAGTTCAATATTTACTTGGAAATTGATAGTTTTCTAGTTGTTGGTTGTCACTTAAATATGCATGGTTTGTATGTGTTCTGCACATTCTTTGTTCATTGTCTTGACGATGTTTTTTTTAATCTCCTAATCATCTTTTCTTTTTTAAAAAAAAAATCACAAAAGTAATATAGGTTTAATACAAGAAGAAAAACACGCAAACAAAAAGAATAAAAATCCATCTAATCCCATAAATTATAATTTTTCAAATTCTTGGAGCAATGAACATTTTCCATAGGGAGATTTACCAGAAAAAAAGATGTTTTCAGTCTAAATTTCATTGACTCACTCTTTAAGGAGCGCTGGCCAGACAAGTATGTGTGGAAAAAGACCTTCCATATTTAGAAAACAGTTCTCATGTTGTGTTTAATTTTAGACATGTTTGTAGTTTGTTTTATCTTTATGATTTTTATGATATGTTTTGGTATGTTCACAGTATAGCTATGTTTAATAGCGTGGACAATGAAGTCAGATCAGTAATTAGTGTCTACGTTTCCTTATCTGTAAATTGAATATAAATTTTTTTACCTCATGGGGTTATCAAGGATTAAATTAGTTAATCTGTAAGAAGAGCTTATCACAATGACTGACACTTAAAATTCCAATGCATGGTAGTTATTAAAATTAATGGCTATTTTCATATGGCCTCTAAGAACAGAATTTCAATATATATAGTTTGTGTATACAGGAAATAAGTTTTGACTTGACATATTTCAATATATGGCTATCCCCTAGAGACTAATTGGGTTAGAAATGATTGTATTCTCTCCTTCAGCTGTTTCTGGTTTTTCATCACTATTTTGAATCTCAATTTTGCATTCTTAAAACATGGACACTAGTACCGATTGCCTCACTGAACTGTAGATTGTTGCTACCAGATGAATGTTTTAATTATTACTGCTGGCTCCCATTCACTTCGTTTAACTGTAAAAGTTTACCAAATGAAAGAATTATTACCATTGTTCAAATATTTGGTCATTAGCTGTTATTATTCTTTCGGGTTTTACATTCCTTTCATCTGGCTGGTTAGCACGTATCCTGCATGTTGCTAGGCACTATGGGAATTCCAAAATATATAAGATACTGACCCTGCCTGCAAGGCCCTTACAAATTAGTCGGAAATTATTGGACAGTTCTCGTCATCTTGCTGTTTCATGTATTTAAACTCTGCTTGCTTCCTCTCATTCTTCT